TGGCGGATTCTTCTTATCTGCAGCACTCTTTACTCTGGGACATTTGTCAATATCATGAGTCGTTGAGCGACAGACTGACCAAGTGACTGGCGCTAACTTGCAGTGCTTGATATTATGACCAATTGCTTTTGAGTGCGAGCATGCCGGTGGCATCCAAGGACTAGAAACACTCACACGCTGCACTTCACCAGAGTCGAATTCCACATTTACTGCCTCCGGTAGAGGTTTCCTCGGGTCAATAACAGTAAACACTTTAGCTACCTCCAAATTGGTCTTATTTGCGGTGGATGGGTGCAAGAACTTCGGGTGACCAACTAACCCCGCAATATGCTCAAGGCCCTCGTCATTGAAGAACTGCAAAGGAACATTCCGGAGCTCTAGCCAAATTGGAGCCGAGGTGAGCTCTGGTTTGACTGGAGTGAACCCTGGTTCCCACTTAGCTACAAATATTGTTTGTCCTTCAGTCTGCCAAAGTAGCTGATTTAGAACCCTATTTCGTGTCGCTGCATTTGGAATCCGGAAAAGGAAAGCGTGACCCTCTATTTTTGTAACAGAGATGTCTTTAAACTGTCGACTCCATATACCATTTAAGATCGAGTGAAGCACTCCTTGTGATGGAGGATCATAGTAAAATTGCCCTAGGATGAAACATCCCCAAGACTGCTTGTTTCTTTCAATCACAGAGTTTGGGATTTTAACGCAAGCGTCATCTGAAGGAAGCGTAAAGGCTATGCCTTTCGTCTCCAATTTCTTAGTACCACCTTTAAACAGAGCGCACCATGAATCGCGAGTAGATTTCTCCAAATTGTTTTCAATTGCTGGGTCAGTCGCGGAAGCAACTTTTGCAGACCTGATTGTGGGGTTTGCAGATTTCTCTTCCATAGAATCTGAATGAGGTGGGGTAGCTGGGTCCGCTGCTGTCGCAGCTTTCGCAGAGTTAGTGATCAGCTCAGAAGCTGGGGCAATCAAAGGATTGTCAGATCTAGAGGCTAGAGCTGAAGATGTGCCTGTCCCTGATGAAGAAACAGACTCGGCCTCACCCACAGAGGCGTGGGCTTGGGCGAATGACGGCGGCTGAGAATTGTCCAGGGTCAGAGGAGACACTGGACTTTTCCTAACGGAGGCTGATGGAGCAGAAATTTTAGGGGGAGAGGCTCTCGCGGGAGAACCTTTATTGGGGGCTTTCTCTTCCCCATGTAGAGGGGAGCCTGAAAGAGAAAAGGAGAGAGGATTCCGACGCTGTGAGAGACCGGACAATCGAAGAGAAGGAGGTCACTGTTTTAACATAATCGCCCTTTCGAGAGGGAGATTTTAATCTTTTGTTTGCAAATAACATGAATTCCGTTTGAACAAGTTAACCTCGTTATTATATTATTCAGTATTTCTCTTACTCAGTTGTTAAGGACATTCGTGTGAAATTATATCCTATGATGTAGTATGTCTCTAATCCAGATTTTGGTTAACAAATTAAGAAGATATAAACCAGTTGCGCAATTCACGAGTCTAGAAGTTATTCTTATCACAATGAACACTTGCAGAATGTATTTTGGTTGCACACATGATAATGAAGAGTGGACGGCTATGGAAGGATTGACCACGGTTAATAGTTTACTGAGCATTCCAAGGTTCTTCTCTGATTAAGTAGTTGGAGAAAATGGTTGTGACATTTTTATTTTATTTGTGTGGTGCTAAGTTGAAATCAATACAAACACCGCATATTACCATGTTCCTTCTTTCATATTCAACTTTTGTTTTAACTACTTTTCTTCTTGTAATGTTTTTTTTTTTTTGAACTTTTCTTAATGTAATGTTTTCTTTTTCAATTAATCTTTCATACATGTGGATTGTTCATGTTACAGATATAATTAACTACAAGACGACAAAATTTAGATTTAAGTAACTACAAGACAACAAAAGCTTATTGTGTGTGGGGGTAAATGTTACAAGTTTTTAGCAAAGCATTATTTGTTAGCTAGTTGGATATATTATGTATTTTTATTTCGCTACCGGTACAATCCACTTATATTCCACTTATAATTGTAGGTTCTACAATCTTGTTAGTTTTCAATATTGTGACAAATAATACATTTCTAAACATTTTTAGTTTTTTGGTTTGCTTGGTTTTTGTGGAAATTTATAATTTATTTGGTTTTATTTGATTGGCAACCCATATTTTCCTATATTAAACTGAGTAAGTCTCGTCTTACTAATTATTTTACTTGGTTCATGTTTGTTTTGAATCTAGATAACACTATTAATAGACTATCTAAAAAATAAAAGTACTACACGATTTCTACAAAAAATTTTTTTATAAATTCAGCAGAATGTTAACCTGTTAAACAGAAAATCATATTCCATTAAAAAAAATGAATTATTCTATAGTTTTTTTGTTGGTTATTTCGATGTATTTTGGATTCAATGAAGCTTGCGAGCTGAATAAGGTAGAAATTGTAAACGAACTCGGTCCTGGTATTACTCTTTTTGCCCATTGCAGGGACTGGCAAGGCCAGGATCATGGAGTAGAGAGGATAAACTTCACTCGTTCTATAAGTTATGTTTTCGGTGATGTTACTAATAGACGAGAAAGAACAAGGTTTGAGGGTGATTTATGGTACGATGGTAGAAATAAGAATTTTTTCGATAAAATAGAAATGTATCGAGCAGCTAGCAAAAAAAGATGTCGTCAGATACGTAAATGGGTTGCCAGAAAAGATGGGATCTACTTCACAAAAATTCACGGTGCACCAGTGGGACATGTACTTAATTGGCATCACAAATAAGCTTTTGTTTTTCCTAAACTTTACCAATATTTTATGTAAGGTAAGTTAATAGTTTGTTTTACATCTTATGAACTAATCCATAAGATCTACTAATAATGTGCTATATATTATGTAGCAAAATATAATAATAAATATGAGTTTATTAATATTTATTTAGATTGTTTCAATGTTTCAATAATAATACAAATTTTAATGAAAGAAATATTATTTATTATGAATTATGAGAATAGAACAATTTACTAATAAATTTATTCCACAAAGATACGTGCCCACAATGAACAGTGTGAAAAGAGAAAGGCGACAAGACAAGAGAGAAACATCGATTGAGCCACTCGGTGGCTGGTTCCAGCGGCTTCTTTAGCGTCAGAACCGGTCTTCTGGGTGTGCTTCTGTTTGGTTTGATGGATTCCTTCCTTCAGTCTAGTTTTTCATTATTACCGATGTGTGGAGAATTGGAAAAGATCTCTAATTTTGGTGCAGTGTTCCGGCGAAGAGAAGTATAAACGATTTTCAATTTATCAAAGAAGAAGAAGAGTTAGAAGTGTGTCCTATCCATGTTTCGGTATCTCTCGCTCCCTTGTTAATATATAAGATTTTCTTGTAGTTGTCTCTTTCGAATTCGTTTTGCCTCGGTAGCTTCTTTCGTGTGAGGTTGAGCCATTGAATGGGGTACGTGATTATACATGTTCGTAAGAAGATCAAGCGAGAAGGAGGTTATCAAGTTCTACCAGCGTCTACTCTTGTCTTTGCGCTTTCACAAAATCGTTCGGACTGCTCTATCAATCTCTGGCTAGGGAATTTGCCAATGTTAGTTTTTATTTTATTTAGTTTCGATGTGGTTTCAAGTGATTCTAATGGTCTGTATGGCATTTGATTGTCACTACTCATTAGCGTGACATGGTAATTTTAGTGTGCTTTGTTTGGCATTTATCCCTGAGGACAGTTTCATTTGTCCGTTGGCTTTACGTAACACTTCAAACTTTGAATTAAAAAAAAAAAATGAAAGTCGTTTTAGACTCATACGTGTACGCACAACAACTAATAATATCTATGTTGACACATGTAAATACGCGTTTATATACAGGAAATATAAATTAGTCCGATCCTATTATCCAGAGTTATAAAATATATAATGTTAAAATGTGTGAACGCAAGTGGATTCTATGAAGAAAGCTCGATGATGATCATGAAGTCCATGAAAAATCGATGAAGGTAAAGAGAGAAATAGATCAATCAAGGCAGAGGAAACTCGAAGGGAACATTCACAAAGGGATCATGAAATCTCTGCCTAAACATCAGAAATCGATGATGATCATGAAGTCGATGATAAAGAACAAAGAGACGCAAGATGATCAAGTAGTTTTCACATGAGTATCTCATAAATAAAAACTACTCAGTGAGAGAATGCTATAACATTCTTTTTATGTATATATTGATTCAATTTTTTTTTTTTAAATACAATTATATTTTGATTTGTGGGGAAATTCTGAAGATCAAATTAAGGTATTGAAAAGTTAATCTTCTACGAATTGATGGATTCACATCCTAATTCTGACGAGACAGACGGATTTGCCGTTCTTGTAAGCAGTTGAAGATGTGTTCTCTATCATGGGTCGTGGCACTGTCGCCGCGCCCCATGTCGAGAGAGGTGCCGTGAAACTGTTGATTTGGAAGAGGTGTTTCAGAGGATTCTTGATGAAGCAATGGCTGGTGATAATGTTGGATTGTTGCTTAGAGGTATACAAAAGGCTGATATTCAGAGAGGTATGGTTTTAGCTTAGAGGTATACAAAAGGCTGATATTCAGAGAGGTATGGTTCCATCACTCCTCATACTAAGTTCGAGGCGATTGTGTATGTGTTGAAGAAAGAAGAAGGTGGGAGGCATTTGCCGTTTTACATGAGGACGACGGATGTTACGGGGAACCTAACGAAGATCATGGACGATAAGGATGAGGAGTTGAAGATGGTTATGCCTGGTGATAGGGTTGATATATCGTTGTGGAGCTTATTGTGCTTGTTGCTTGTGAACAAGGGATGAGGTTTTCTTTGACTTTTCTTGCTTTATAAAGCTCAAACTATATCAATTTGTATCTTAGTTTTTTATCTTTCTAAACTCAGCTGAGTTTGAATCTATATTTGCTTTATACTTATATTACCAACTTACTCACCATTTTTAGAATGAGATTAAATTAAGTCTTTATTCCTATTAAAAGTGCAAATAATAATGCATAATAGATGAAACTTTTAAAAAGCTTGATTTGTTTTTTGTGTTTTTTAACAAATAAAGCTTGATTTGTTGATGACAGAAAATGTAAATGACACTCGCATAAAATGATACATGACTAATTAACACATACAAATATATAACTACTGAGGAGTAGGCGAATCCAAATCTTTTGGATCCGAAATGCGTCCACCAGCTTGTCCACTAACTGAGTGTCGTGGGTCAATGTTATCCATTAATCTTCTCCCTGCAATTTATGTTAAAAATTGTAGAAAAGATGTTATTTTACGTTTCAAGAAAAGCTTATTTATAGTTTTTTCTAATAATAATGAATATAACCGATAGATATTAGATAGTGTGTGAAAGAAGAGAAACTCCTATTTGTAACATCAAAAGTCACACAAGATGAGAAATCATCCGTCTATGTAAAATCATGATACTTTCTGCACCATGATGATATATCCGAAATAACATAATTAAATCATATATATATTAGAGAAGCTTTTCTCTGATAAATTTATCCATCTCAGCAAGTTTTAATTTATTTTATGAGCTTTATATATTCTGTTCTTTTTTAATGGGGTTTTATATATTTTGGATATACATTTTTGAGTTTTCATATAATATTAATTTTTAATTCTTTTATAAGCCATAAAACTATAAATTTTCTGTGAAATAAAAAATTTTAAAATATTATTTCGAATAAAAACAAAAAAAATATGGAAAAAGAATTGTAAGACGAACAAATACACAAGAAGATAGAAGAATTTGCGGATAATAGTTATCCAACTTAAACAAAAGTTTAAAAAGATTTATATATAAAATTAAAGTAAAATTATTTAAAAAAAATATATTTAGTCTCCAAACCATAAAACTACAAATTTTTTACAAAATAAAAATAATAAAAATATTATTTTAAATATAAATAATGAAAGAACTTGTAAAAAATAGTAATCAAACTTAAAAAAAAAATTTAGAAAGATTTATACAAAAAACTAAAGTAAAATCACTAATATCTATTTTACTTATAAATAATGATGATTTTTATGAATAAATAAAATTAAAGTGTTTAATCATGTAACATAAAAATAAGTTTCATCTATATGAAAGGCAAAACAAAAATGTATGACTATTTATGGTTTAAAATGAGTTAGTATTTTTTAAAATTTACGAAAAGCAAAAAAGTCATGCAGTTTAAAGTTGATGAAATTGATGGTAAATTTTTTTTTTTTGATTTCGCTGAAAATAATTAATATAAAAAATTAGAACAAAGATATAGATAATGGAGAAACTTATATATTTATAATTAACATATGTTAATTTATATTAGAAAATGACTTACATAATAGGTCTATATATTTTAGAACAATAAAAAACTAAAACATTATTTATAATTAAAAAAATAAAATAAAAATAAAAAAAAATTAAAAAAAAATTAAAAAAAAAAATATAATTATAAAGTATGCAAATAGATTAAAAAAATAATCTTAAACAACGCACGAATTAAAACGTTTCTTTGAATTAGACTATGATTATTAAATTTCCTAAAATACGAACTTATGAGCTATTAGACTACCAAAGATCTAATTACTACATAATTGAGCATATGATAATTTGTAGTCATAGAAAAATAGGTTCGATTCACTGGAAAGGGTTGATAACTGAAACTAAACTATGCAACCATTTGCCCTATATTTATTAGTCATGAATCTTCTCCCTACAATATGTAATAATTTGTTCGATATTAAGATCATTAAAAAAAACAAGGCAGCATAACAGGAATTATTACAGACGAAAATACAATTCTATAAAATTTCGAAAAGGAAATGAATAGTTAAAATAATGTAAAATAAGTGAGGCTGATCTCAAAAACTAAAGAAGAGGAAAATACCATGACCACCACCACCATGATCACTGGTCGATGGTCTTGTTCCTATGTCTGCACTGAGCTTATAACGAGGATCCATTATTCTCCTCCCTTCATTTTTATTAGTAAAATTTTATTATTCATATCTATTAAAAGATTATATATTAGTGTTGAACGGAAGCGAAATTAAATGTTCAAAAAGTAAACAAACGAAAACCAAATTGTCAGTGAGACTTATAATCAGTTTTAGTAAAGATTCATATTCGAACTGTGTATACCAAAATAATTTCATGCCGAATGTATCAATTAAATCAACATATAAATGACTCACACTATTTATTAATATTTTACTTGTAGTAGATTGCAACAATGTGTTTATTTCATGGGATCTATGTACATGTGACTGTCTACTATTTCATGATATTTTTTCCCCAATTAGAACACTATAATACAAACTTATGTAATATGGGTATATAGTATAAATTTATTGTTATATATATATGTATATATACTAACCGGTGATTATGAGGGAATCATGGTGTGAAGGAAGAGTCGATTCGGTACGGCAAAGAAGGGTGCAGATAAGCAAAAGCACAATGAGCAAATGAACAAATTCTGAAAATAAAGTCTTCTTTCCCATCTTTTTCTCTCTTTCTTTTTCTTGACTCCAAACCTTTGATTTGTATAGCTGAACACAGAGCAAAGCTCCAAGAAAGTATATAGAAAAAGTTCAAAAAAAAAAAAAAAAATGTATATAGAAGATAACAAAATTAAGCCCCCCACTATTATTAATTTTCTCCACTACTCATTTTTTTAATATAATTTGACCCTCTTGTAGAAAAAAATATTAGACACTCTTATCTCTTATTGACTTTTTTTCTTTTTTTTTTCTTCTTATAAGTAGTAATGGATGAACATTTTGATAGATCTAGTATAGGAGCAAATTTGATATCTCTCGAAAAATCTTGATCTAGATCTCGATTACAGAACATTGGATCAGCATAAAGTATTCTTTTTTAATATATATATATATATATCATGTTAGAAGTTAAGATTTAAATATTAAATTTTAGAATTAGATTACTACTTGGGAAATTTTTAATTAATTTTTTTTTTTCAACACATGTTGTTATACGTGCAGCGGTGGAGCTACGTTGGTGGAAGGGGGCAGCTGTCAACAAAATAGTATTAAAAATAAAAAAAAATAATTGTCAGCTACATAAAGTAGATGCCATGTCATATGCGCAGAGAATATTAATGTATTCAAAACTACACAAATTATATGGTAAACATGAACTATTGGGATTTATTTTACTAAATCCAAAGAGAATTCGATACATAGACTTAGAGTGCGTTAGACGCTGACACACACCATGCTAGCTCAGTCGATCCACTTTCTTGTAATGTTTCAAAGCAGTTATCGGACTTTTTCAAACACACCAGAATTATTATCCGCACCTGTTTTTCTAATGCACCGCATAAAAGGGATAGGACAAAAAACCCGCAAGTATAAATAAGAAGAGATCACCGCGAGAGAAAAGAAAAAAGAAAGAAAAGGAGATGGACGGATGAGAAGGGAGAATTCTCTCTCAAAGAAGTGGTATATGCTTATCTAAGCCAATCGATCCAGACAAGTAGCACGATCACGGGTAAATTTTATATTTTTTCTGAGTGAATGCCGACCAAGTTAAGTCACTCCTAAATCGGAATTCCACTTTTATACTCTTCTCACTTTTCTTTTGCTGTGTAGGAACCCCTTTAAAACACCTAAAAACAGATAGAAACCTCGATCCCCGCACGAGACTTCTCACACTAACCCGTAGAAAACCCTCCTTCCAAGTACTTGTTCCTGGTAGGATGTTCATTGACTTGGGCGTTGGAAAACCTTCTGGAGAGAAACCCTTTTTCCGTCCTTCCGAAGGCTCATTTGACCTTTATTTGAGTCCTTACAGGATGGAGTGCAACATTCACCCCATCACCTTGGGACCAGAAGCTTCTGCCTCGTAATGACTGGCCTCTTTCCCTCTAAAGGACGAATTTCAGAGGCACAGCTCCAACACTCCGACGAATTACATACCTCCACGTAATATCCCAAAATTTGCTCCTGAACAATAACATATGAACTAAATAATGTTATATTGCTAACATCAAAAATATCTTTCCCATTACCAGAATAATGTATTCAAAATTATATGAACTACTTTATAAAAAAAACTACAAAGACTATATTTATAATGATAATATATATATATTATAGTATATTTTATCCCTGAAATTTATATATTATCAATAAATCAAATTTTCAATTAAAATATAATATTTAAAAAATAATAGTTACATAAAATTAAAAATTAAATGATTATCAATGGTTAATACTTTGTATATTATGTATTTATGTGCTTTTCAAATATCTTGTTGATTTATTGGCTATATTTTAGTATGTAAATTTTGTATATATTTTAAAAATCATTTTGTTTGTACAATGTAAAGTAAAATTATAATATTTCTTAAGCTTGAAAAGATATTCTTATATAAAATTTATATTATTTTATTGTTAACTTGAAAAGATATGATTAATTATGGTTCAAATTTTAATTGATTTTAATCTTTGTTTTCCTATAATTTAAATTGAAATATCATTTATTTGAAACTTTTTATGATGTAAAATAGCTTTTCATAAGAAAATAACAAAAATAGTTTATATGATGTAAGCTGTTCAAAAAAAGAAGAAGTTTATGTGATGTAATATATATATATATATAGATACACATAATTAATGAATAAAAATATAAAATGAAAATATAATGTTGTTAAATATACTAAAACCACACTATAAGCTGTTCTATGAAAACAATTATAATAGCTTTGAGTGAAAATTTGTCTAACTAAAAACATTTGTTAATATGCACAGAATTTACTATAGGTAGTTCAGATAAAATGATTTTATAATAAAAACTTACATACTAAAATAAAGTTAATAAATTAACAAAATATTATAAAAGCATATAAATATATAATTTACAAATTATTAACTATGGATAATCAAATTAATTTATATAACTATTATTTTCACATATTATATTATAATTAAAAGAATTAATTCATTGATAATATATAGATTTTAAAGATTAAATATACTGTAATATATATATATATATTTATAAATTATTACCATTATAAATATAGTTTGTGTAGTTTTTTTTAAAGTAATTCGTGTAGTTTTGAATATATTGTTTTGATAATAGAAAAGATGATTGTGGTGTTAGCGACATAACACCATTTAGTTCATACATGTCATCATATTAACCATATAGTTCATGTAGTTTTGTATACATTTAAATTTTCTGCATATGTAGCTATATGATGGCATTTACTACGTGTAGCTGACAAGCTATAAAAAGTAGATGCCATCACATGACTATACATACATAAAATATTAATGTATTTAAAATTACATAAATAATATGGTTAACATAACGACATGTATGAACTAAATAATGCGCTAACATCATAACCATCTTTACTATTATCAAAATAATGTATCCAAAACTACACAAACTACTTTAACAAAAAAACTATACGAACTATATTTATAATGATAATAATTTATACATATATATATTATAGTATATTTAATTCTTCAAATTTACATATTATCAATGAATAAATATTTTTAATTAAAATATAACATTTGAAGATTATAGTTATATAAAATTAAAAATTAAATTGATTATCAGTGGTCAATAATTTGTATATTATATATTTATGTGCTTTTAAAATATCTTGTTAATTTATTAGCTATATTTTAGTATATAAGTTTTGTATATATTTTAAAAAATGATTTTGTTTGTACTATGTATAGTAAAATCATTATATTTCTTAAGCTTGAAAATAAATCCTTATATAAAAGTTGTATCATTTTATTGTTAACTTGAAAATATACGAATTTGATTGATTTTAGTGTTAGTTTTAATTGATTTTTATTTTTGTTTTCCTATGATTTGAATTTAATTTATTTTATTATACATAGCACATTCAAAATAATTTCTAATATATAAGGAATTTACTATATAAACTAGAAGTTTGACCCGCACGCATGTGCATACATAAACAATTTTTAAAAATTAATTACATAAATATAATATTTAAATTATTATAAATATTTTATTTTTTTGTAATATATAAAAAATTAGGTACGACGATTAAATTATAGGACCTGATAGCAAAATATATAATTTTAACTAAACATTTCATTATAACAAAATGCCCATTTTATTATGTTAAAGGGCTAAATGGGTGAGACCCGCAAATAGCTGGTTAAGCGGGTTACCTGCTGCGGATTTGTGGATCAGACGTACATACCTGCAAATTTCATCATCTTCTTCGTCTTCAATTAATCTTCCTCAATTTATTCAGTTATTTAGCCTCTAAATTCTCGAAGACTTCTTTGTATAAAATAAATATTTGAACTAAAATAAATTAAACACAGACAATTATTTGAACTTAAATATATTCCAACTTCTCTTTGTACATTTGTTTAGCTTCTGTTTCGTGTGGACAACAAAAATGGGCTCTTTAGTTAAACATTGTTAGATTAATGTTACTTTGGATTATATAGTCAGTGCATGTGATGAAGACAATTCTCATAATTTTTATACAATTTGATGATACAATTAATGTTGCTTTGGATTATATTTCGGAAAGACAATCTCAAGAAGACTGTTAAAAGTAGATAATCATACTTCCGTTAACAAAACGTGGTATACTCTAATTTCTCTTTGTATATTTGTTTAGCTTCTGTTTCGTGTAGACAACAAAAATGAGTTATTTAGTTAAACATTGTTATATTAATGTTACTTTAGATTACATAGTCGGTGCATGTGATAAATATATAATTTTTATACAATTTAATGTGTACAAATCTGTGCATGTAATAAAAAATATAACATATGTTTTGTGCATGTGACAAAAAACGATGGTTTACAATTTATATTAATAATTAAATATTTTATACTTTTTAGTTTTCATAAAATAATTATTTGAACTAAAATAAATTAAACGCATAAATTTTTTTTTTTTCATGTCATAATTCATATGTGTTAACAAATGTCATGTCACAATTACATCATCATTACACATCATCATTTCCATGTCACATTTAATTAGGTTAGATTGATGTTTTTAACCAATAAAATTAAAACAAATCAGCATATTTCATTAAACTACATTGTCAATTAATAGGTAGAGGATAATGTAAATAATTTGTGTACAAAAAACAAGAACTTATTTTCGCAATATAAATAAATATAATATTAAAATTTATGATATAACAACCTAAGATTAATTATTAGAACAGAGAACTAAACTTTTGTTTTTACAACGATTAATAATTCATATAAATTATGCTGGTTCAAATAGGTTAGTTTGGTGAGCTAACCAATCCAAAACCATTGAATTTACATGAGAAAAGATGAAGTAGTCATTCCAGCAAATGATATTAGGAGCTGAGTCGAGTCATGATGGAAGAGGATAAGGCCACCTCCGAACATTTATCCGCACCTACCCATAGTGCATCTAATTGACAACGGTAATCACTATATGGATCTGAATTGTCAAGTACTTCTACATCTTAAGTACGTGGTTCTTCACTAATAACTTCCACCAGATTTGCGATTTCCAAAGTTTTAGCTTCATTAGTCGCGATCTCTAATGTATCCATCGAAGATATGTCTTTTCTATTGAATATTTTATCTTTCCTCACCTTCCAAGTAATCCATGGAAACATTTTGATATGTTCCTCTATTGCTCC